TAGAATGACTCTTGCAGAATGCAACGTGACCATAGCACCACCTCACGATGCTCTACGCTCATCCTCTTATCCACTCACTACCAATTACCACTGAAATCTCTTGTCACTCATTCTGCCTCAATTCTAGTAACGATGACGTATGCGAGCCTCAGTCGTTTACACTCTTTCTCCCCGGCGTGTCGGACCGCAGCTAACAATTATCTCCGTGTACATTTCATTCTCAGCAATAGCCTAGCCTCCCCGGCGTATACGACCCATCTGCTGTCCTTAACATCAATCAATTCATTCATGGATGTAGAAGACTGGACACAACTTCAGAAGTAATCACGACGAAAATTTTAACAAAATTATGCGACAAAAACAAGGTGCGAAAACAACGAGTAAACACAATGAATCCAAAAACACCAATCGATATGACACACCACACGTATATACAAACAGTACACACAGACTCGCAGTTCGTGTCTTGATGGAATTCTTTTGAAGAATTGCAGGACTTACACCAGTACACCCGCAACCCTTCTCACGTTGACGATTGTAAGTTGTGGAATGTCCGGACATAAACAAGATTAACCAGCAATTACATCAATAGGAACTCACACAACTATTTAACACAAACATATGTACAATCAACACATCAAATGTTGTGGATTCTGGTACAACAAACTACACTTGAAGAACTGTAGGACTTACAGCAGTACGCCTACATTCCTTCTCAGGTTGATGATCCAACTGGAAGTCGTCCGGACACAAACAGAATTACCAACAGCTAGATGACAGATGATATCAATTCAGTATATACAATATGAACATATGTACAAAATCACACACCGAGCACATTGGACCGCTCATTGATGTGCTACCCTTTGAAGAATTGTAGGACTTTCACCAGTACGCCTACAACCCTTCTCAGGTTGACGCCCTAGGTTGGAAAATCGTTGCAGAGTTCATTTTCTGACTTCCTTCTATCAGCTATATCCCCAGATCTGAACGGTAACACGCTCATGTCATTGTATCGTAGAACATAGATGACGAACAAACACACGACATATCTGGTCAACGAAGCGTAGGCACAGAGTAATTTACACCAAAGATTATAGCATTTAAATAGTAACTTGAAACTAGAAATGCCTTTATTCGTGCAAGTCAATTTAACAATTACTCTCTCGTTTACACTTGGCTTATCCTCACTAAACTGACCATAGATATTCGTCCTTTCAAACGAACTGATACTATCATAGTCATTGCAGAAGATACTCGAGTTGATGGGCGACTGTTTCATTGTGGATGACAACACCAACGATGACCGATTGATACCAGTTGATGAAGTTAGCGGTGGATCAAAAGCTGTTGTTGATCGACTTTCAGAAAGTTGTCTACCTGCAAGACCACCACCACTGCTGTCTTTTACTATCAGCTCAGGTTTAGCACTAGCATCTGATGATAGGTGGGCTACATGTTGATCACTCACACTGACGGTCTCACAAATATGCATGCCTTGTGAAACTGCACCTGCATTTATTTCTACTTCACGTTCAAGTTGTACAGAAACTTTGTTCAACTTAGCAGTAGTAGGCATATCCCGCATCTCATCATGATCAACCAAAGACAAATCTGCACTATCATGATCATTATCACAAATATTCAATTTACCGTCAACTTTATCATTTTCAAAGTCTTTAATAACAGAAGTAGACAATTTGGGTTCCTCCTCGCAAATCCTAAAAGGTTTCATAACTTCACTCTGACTAGTAATATCTTGTAAACTTATGGAGTCAGAACTGCACTCTGAAGCAGTAACTCTATTCTGTGACACACTATTCAACAATGGCTTACCAGTTGCAGCTACACACTTCTTCACAACACCGTTATCGTCACACAATTCGGAGTCAGGCCTGGAGTTTACATTTAGCTTATCATTAAATTTGCTCACTGATTCACAGTTCACCTTTTTATGCACCTCTTGAAAACGTGTAAAACACAACCGTGCTTGTCTTGCATCTTGTAACTTATCTGTTGAGGATGTACTACGAAACCTGTAACACTCACTAAGTCTATATGCATTACTATACATCATGGAGCCTTCTAGATATCCACCTCTCTGAGGCCTATTCGTCATCAATGATTGCATTTTGATCTCAGACTGCTCTATTCTAGGGGTGAGATTCAATATACTGGCAAACTTGCTCATAGATAGATTGACGCTATCTTTTAAGAGTTTCAGAATGTCATTCAACTTTGGCTCGATACCCTCATCCTCCATACGGGAGCTTATCTTCACCCACTTCCTTTGCAGTCGAGTAGGTAGGCGTCTTGCTATTACTTCTAGTATAAAACTCGAGTTGAGGTCACTCATGCAACTCATCGAAATCAAGGTATTCTTATAAGTCATAAGATTATCTAAAAACTCAGTGAGTGCCTTGGAGTCATCTTGAAGTTGACTGCCGTTACCTTTGACAGCTTCGTATACGTTCCTTACAATCATCGAAGGTCTTCCAAACCTTTGACGTTTGATGTTCCTATTATCCCTGAACGGCGAAACAATAACATCAACCATGTCATGCTTAACATCAGACACATCGTTACAATTAACAGACAAGTCACCATGACTTACTTTCCTGTTTGCATTCAAGACACTCTGTCCCTTCTTTGACCCAGGCATTGTTGAACTTGGCCCAATTCCAAAAGAGTTCCAGATATTGCTTGTTCAAAGAGGACTTGACCGGCACCAGGAAAGATGAACGGTGACTACCCCAACTGTTACCAGCAAACTGAATCGGCCGGAATCTGTTTCTATCGTCAGAAAGTGTCAGTCAGGTCTCGTACACCGTTAATGCCCAGCTCTTGCTACGCTCGGGCTCACGCTGTCGCTTGAAGTTTCTCAGAAACGCTTAGTAATAACGGACACAAAAGCCAAAACACCAATTGTTGACTTGAGGATTCTTTATTGTTACACCAACATATAAATCAAGTATGACTAAGGTCTGTGAACAAATATTACAATAATAAATCACAATATTAATTCTGATGGTTTTCTGCTGACTTCTTTCTGAACAGCGACCGATGAGACGATGACTGTCGTATTGATGCCTCCGCGAAATTGGGGAAGTTGGTTTAGAGCAAACAACCAAGAATTGATAGTTCAATCTTCAAATACATTGACAACTGGTATTAAAACGTCTGGGTGAAACTTGCAACGAAGATTATGAACAGCATCTATGTGTAATGCCGAGCTATCTTACTGGCTGATTCAAGGCCACTTGACTTTGGTGTCTATTCTTTACTGTTGCCATATATCTTTCATGTATAAGACAATCAATGCAGTTATTTTGTTATGATATTTCGGAACGAGAAATATCTATTTATTAAATGCAGTTTTATTACAACGTTACAATTGGGTGGTATAAAATCAACAAATGAGCATCTCTGTTATTTGACAACTATCATCTAAATTATGACGACAGTTAAATAAATACTTTTGATCAACATCACCAAATACAACTATTCCTGATAGCTATACACCTCCATATAAAATGTATTGCCTAATAACTGTATTTAAAATACTTCTCATTGTACAAAACGTCACCTGCACACGACTCCGTAAATCTCCAAATGAGTACATTTCACAAGCACTCCGAAATTATAAAGTAAGGGACTAGCACAGACCTCTGATTTCCTGCTAATCTAGCACGAACTGAGTAACACACTAAACATGAGATCACACATGCATTCCTCCGTCTTGCAAGTTTCTCAAACTACCTCTTTATCCACATATAGTCAGCTTATTAGGGCCTTTGACATGGACAAATTCAAAATAATTCCAAATGTGTGTTTGAGTTTGAACCATTTAACAGGACTGACGGACTAGTTTCAACATAGAACTTTGCACCGATGTGCACCAGTTCGAGTCGCTACACTTCATTCAGCACACAAAGACAGAGAAGATAAAAAGAAATGCAAAACAGTGACAGTAAAAAGAGATATGAGGCTAAAAGAATAGTACTATCGACGAACAATATAGTTCTACTGGGCGTTGTAAGTCACAAGGAGTGGATTCATCTGCACCAACCATAGAGAACGAACTTGAACCATACCACCGATTGTCTCCAGCCATTGGTTTTTACTGTCCCGAGGGCCCCAACCAGGAAGTCTACACTTTCCTACTAGACCGGCTTAAGCTAACTGTTGGGGATTCCATTGACTGATGAGGCCATGATTTAGCTTGACCACTAGTGGCTCTTTTCCAACCTGACCCTATGTCAGCTAACATTGCCCGTCGAAGAAGGCGATGGCTAGGCCAGGATTAGACTGGCCGGCGTTAAGTGATCATTTTACGGACATTAAACGTTCCCCGAAGTGATATTTCCACACCAAATACTAGGACCGCCGTGCAACTGAAAATAGAATAAAAGTTTGCTTGTAAAGCCTGAAGAGAATGGAACATACTAACTGCTAGCTAGTGGCGATGAATAGCAAGGAGTTAGCATATATGACATCAGGTAAAACTATCACGCCCGAAAGAAAAGGATGCATTAGTAAGAAAAATCTCGTACTATCTTCAAAACGCCTTACAACATAAGATGGCCATCAATCCTTGTCGTCGAAAATGTAAATAAATTCTGGAGAAGAAAAGGACGCCCTCTCGGACTTATTGAAGCAAGTGGTTGTTCACTCGAAATCAAGTTCGTCTCAACTTAGATTTGAGACAAGATTAAAATACTGAGGCTAAGTTAGATCTGTTGCCAAGAAGCAGTCGAGTTAAACCTGAAAAGCACAAGCACCAGTCCTACTGTTATCTACAGACTTGAATGACGAATCGTTTATATACATTTAGTTAAACCGCAGAATTGAATTTCACGAAATAATTGTACTTAGTAATCCTACATGCGAATACATATGAAGTCTCAATATCATAATGATACGCCGGTTACTAACTCAAACAATTCACTCGCATCGAAGCACATTTAAGAAAAAGTAGTGTAAACTTATAAAAGACTTACAGTATCCAAGACTCATTCCATTGCATATTGAAGGTGATGGATTTATTCGCCTACTATAGTCCAAGTAGCTGGCAAGTTCATGGTGACCCGTCTGTCGTAATGCGTTAAGCAAGAGCGCTAGGCCTTGTGGTGGGGCGAATGGACAACTGTTGGATGATCCTGAGCTACGAAAGCCACCATTATGAATAGGAAGGCCAATGGCACTTAGCAGCAAGAAAGGACGCTCACATTTTTCTGCCCGTATTATTTCGAGACTAGATTCTCCACTTATAGCATGATGTCTGACAAGATAATCAAGCAAAGGAGCCTGCACATCCAAGCTTTCGAATGTATCCGGTGAGCAATCCAGAAAATTTTTCGATATTCCTGACACCGCACAAGATGCACTGTAGTTTTCCTTATCACACGTCAAATTACGGTAGGAATTAGCGTTCTGAATTGTAGTTATTTGACCTTCTTTATACGTAGTATCGTGGACCTCTTCTTTAGGTTCAGGAGTGGACTGCAGATATAGTGGTCTCCTAAAGTTACAAATGGGATGTGCAGCTTCCCCGTATTTCCCGAAGTTCTTAGTGATGGGAGTCTGGGATTCGTCGTCGTAGTAGTTGACATTAAGGGTGTTCACATGAACGCAGTCACCATTATAACCGATTACTCTATGGCCATTACTATTACACGAAACTTCCAACATCAAAAAGTAAGAAGAGTGGGCAACAAAGAGAACTACATAAACCGGTGATTGAATGGAGTCAAAATTGAACGGAAAGAGGACTAGGGCCAAAAAACCATAAGCCGCAGAACCAGGTGACTACTTTCATATTTCGACGGCTTTTCACCGATCAAAACAACAAGGTCAGGGAGGCTTTCATCGTTCCAAACACTGATGACCTTGATGGTACTTCATCCAAGCACGGGAGCCGCTTGCAGTGTTTTGGATATTTTCCAGTCTAAAATATATTTATCAACATGTGGGATATGTGAACGGAAGTTTTCCAGCATTTCTTCGTCTGTTGTGCCCTGGGCGAAAACCACCACTGACTTTGCATCGAATGGAATGGTTGCAAAACCTTGGCGTGAATAATCACAAGGAATATTTGCAGTACCATATGATGATAAATTTCGTTGACAATCTCCAAGTAGTTATGTAGGACAAATTGGGTTCAAATTGTAATGATTCCAGAGCCTCTGAGTATGGATCGCGAAACTTCAAAATTAATTGATAGTGTACTGCACTGGTGCTGTTCCGCCTTGAATGAATTGACTGAGCTGAGTAGTGTGTCAGACTTTTAAAACCGAGTTATCGTTAGGGTTACGGAATCATGGCTCACACTAAATCAGTGACACTGAAGTTAACCAATATGATTTACATTGCATACGGAATGAATCGCAGGGTCGATAGAGTACGTGGCGGTAGGTAATTCCACGGAATTATCAGCCACAGAATTCATCACTGGACATTATAGAGAAGATTTGTAGCTCAGGTGGATGATTTTGATGTGGTTTTGTTCTCTGAGCTGGATGGTTAGTTTGCGAAGATTCAAATTGAAGTATGCGCTGAAGATGTCACCCAGTAAGGTGATGAAAGCTTCGCAAACTAACCATCCAGCTCAGAGAACAAAACCACATCAAAATCATCACTGGACACTAGACGCTGACACTTATTGTTTAAGTCGACTCGTTTATCAGAAGGTACGCGTTGAAATATCCAAGCCATTTTGCACGCCGTCGTGTTGAGTTTGTTCGTTTATGCACTATCCCTAGCCGGTTGAGCAGTCATCGTCGCACTATGATTTTGTCCAGAAATATACTCCGTATTTTTGACGATCAGTGTGATGCTTTGCTTTGCTTCTTGTCTAAGCGGAATGAATACCATAAAAGTTGTGGGTATTATATCCTGTATGAGTATATGTTGTGCTATCCCTGAACTTCAACACCTTCAACCCCTAAAAGTAGGTTGCTGTATCAAGAATTTGTAGGATTCTGAAGCTCTCTCGCACAAAACTGGATCGAGCGAACTTCAACTCTGCAGACTAAAGTGTGAATGACAACACCTAACCTCACTGTAATTAGTCGTAGCCCCGATCGCAATGAAGACAATTTTCGGTTAGTGAATCTGGGTTTTGGACGTTGAAACGTTCGAGTTTCGTGGATGGAGTTAATTGACTGGATATGCTTTACAATGCCATCCTCAGCCTACTCTTCAGACTAAAATTTTCAGAGTCTACAATTTCGTTGGACGTATTACAACTTGTCACTAAGCTTGCACTTTATGTGTGGCAGCACTCCCCCTCAATCTTGGGCCTGGTTTTCTGCACTACTGATCGTGCGATCCTCACTCAATATTCCCTGCTGCTAGGGAAAACTGAACATGAGAATTTTGTACATTCATCAATACATATAAACATAATAATAAATCCTGAACTGGTATAGGGCATACAAATTTATGCATTCACCAGTCTGTTTACATCGACAACTCAATGATAGAAGGATCACCAAACACACACGTTGTCCGCGTTCGATTTCCGGCCGACGCAATCCTAAACCTCAGGTAACCGGTAAAGACAGGAGGTTGTGTGTGTGAGGCTAGCAACCACACCTAGTAAAAACCACACTGTTGCCACTGAAAATGCAAAGCTTGAAGCCTTATGTTCCATTCAGAGTGCAAAAGAATGGGAAAAAACTGTTGACATAGACTGAACTACGAGTTCGGTGTTAGATGGTGACCAAAGTAGTTGTCTGTTACTGGGAGAGTTGACCGAAGTCTATCGATCGAATGTGTACTTTAACCATAAGGCTAAAATACTCATGACTAGGTTAACCACCATATTAATTACTTTTCGGTGACCGATTCACATGAATAATTCAAACCTAAATTGGTTCAGTCGCAGTATGAATAGATTATTAGGAAGTTTCCAATTTCATCAGTGACCGACACAGATTAGAATCACGAACAGGAAATGGGTTTCCTGAGGGTCTCATGAGTTTAGTCAATAAAAACAACAGTCGACTGTACCTTAATATATTTGGTGACTGAGATTCAACAAAAAACTCTGCATAGAAATGCAGCACACAAAGATAGATGAAAAAAAACTTTTCAAAGAAATAAAATGAGCAGAACTGTACGGGAGAAAGAGTGATAACATGCAAAAACATTAGGATCGAATGGATATTTCAGATCACGAAAAGGCAGTTACATCTGTTCAACTGAGAACAATTTCGAGCATTATCACCAATAGTCTCAAACCAGACGGTCGACACCTTCCTACGTCGCTGAAATCAATGATCAAATACAGACCACTTCTAACTCTTTTCTAACCTAATCTTAAGTCGGCTAACATTATTCATCGGGGAAGGCAATAAGCTAGGTACACGTAGCACGTGTCTTAGAGCCTTCTCAATCGATGTAGCTCACCGATGGATTTTCTCTCCTTACCTAACACACACTCCCCACCTAACCTTAATATTGCTCACTATGTTAACGACTTTACACAGGAGATTATTGTTTAATAAAGAATTATTAGTGTAGTAAGGATTTAATACAATCTAACCAGGTAAAATAATATAGCGCAGTTATGGTTTATTTTTTATTCGGTCAGGGATTTATTTCTTGACCAACCAGTCACACATATTTCTGTTACGTTTCACATATCAGTGTTTAAACAACGCTCTAGTAATAGATACAATTTATCATTTAATGAAAAGAAGCGGCACATAGAATAGTTCATTTCTCCACTCTCAGATTAATACATCAAAGTTTCTGTAACTTCAAAGGAAGGATATTTGGACACAGTTACCTACTATTGGTGATTTTATCCATGATAAATACTGTTGGTTCTTATCTTACTGCGAAATGCGGATTTCATGAGTAAGCGTCTTAGTACTTGTTTCCGAAGTAGTGCAATATTAACTTCACATATATGGCTAAAGGAATCTGTTGAGTTATAGTAAAAATAAAAGCGTTACTCAGCAACTAGTTACAATTCCATGAAGCTGGTAATGAGCCACACCTAATGTTGGACGGTCAGTGATACTACCTGGCTGTCGAACTTTGTGGGTGGAACAGGTTTCGAGAAACCGTGATCCACTGGTTGAAAGGCAAGCGCACACCACACCAATGAACCACAGCTTCACCTGATAAATTATAATCCCTTATTAAGTAAAATGTACATTGCTTGCAACTGAATACAAATCACGAATTCGTCTTATCTAATAGAAACTATACAAGATTAAGAAAACAAAAAGACTTCATAATACTAATTACTTGTCTTAAGAGTAGAAAAATTTTCCAGATAAGTAGAACAGATGTTGGAAACACTCTTCTTGTTTTAATACTGTCATACACATAAAACCTGGTATAATCAATTCACCTAAGTTATTTTTTTTACAGCTGCTAATATTCCGAAGAAAACATTTTATTACACGATAAAATTACATATACAACACACACACAGTGGAGGATAAATACACTTTCTATTAGGATTGTATCGTTTTCTTAAGTAACAACTGAATACTTGTTTATCTAATGGTCAAAACAGTTAGGAATGATTCAATACCTGTTTCGGATAGCAGATACAGTATGAAGATGGGAATTACTATTATAAGGTAGATGATCCAAGTTGCTATGAGTTCTACCACGTAGAGGGTAAAAGGAAGTAAGAAAAAAGTGAAAAGTATGTAGTTAAAAGTCGTAGATTGCTATTAGGCAGACGAATGGATGGAAACAGGTATCAGAAAAAGATATAATAATCAAAACATCGACAAAAGGTCAATGGTGGAGATGTGGTTGATTGGCTGTAGTACTTGACTTCCAACCAGTGGGTAGCAGGTTCGAATTCCTATGCGAATAATTCTGTCTAAGCGACCGATCTCAGCAATTTAAATACCCCCCATAGTATATCCAGAATATGAATCGTTATATCGAACAACGATTCCCTAAGAATTCTTCAGGCTCTATGGTCATAAATCTACCAAATTTGGAATACACCAGCCAGCCAGTAAGGGCGAATCAAAATCTTATTAGATACTATATTTAAATACAAGTGCAAGGTAGAATAACCCGCTGGTTTTGATTATTATTTAAATGCGCACATTCCATAGGCAGATGAGACTAAATAAGATTATGCAATTAACTGAACTGTTTCTATACTTATAATTAACAAAATTATAGCTTTAAGGCGTTGAATAATATACAGTGATGTGAGACAAAGTATGAATACTACAAAAATATACACACAAACAATTGGATTATGCTGAGTGTAAGAGCGATGGATAAAAATGACAATAATTATGAGGTTGATAAAGTACAGTAGTCATATAATGAACAGTAATCAAGTAATGTAGACAGGATAGGCTTAGTGTAAATACAAAGAGCAGAGAGGAAATTGTTAGGGTGTATGCGATGGCAATATGAGATGACTACGTTTACGACAACCTGATGGTAGGCCAAGGTAAACGTGAAGTACGAATTTACCTTTTCTGAGCACGGATTAGGTTTTATAGGGTATTGACGATAACTGATACACTTTTGTGCAGTTTTATGTCGACTTGTCTGTTTACTGACTAGAAGCTTAGCGGTGGCTTACTTATCAAAATAATTTGGAATTTTGCTTAACTAGTGAGTTACAAGTCTACTAGCTAATGAAGTATTAAATATACGGGCAAGATGTCGGTAAATATACTGAGTCACATAATAAAGTGGACATATTTGTTTCCACAGAGTATTTCTGGTAAAGATTCCAGGTAGAAAGTAGTGGAACTACTGACTTAGAAGGCGTCCAGTAGACAGAAATCAGTGTTATGGTATCCACTGTTAAGGCTATTATTGTCTACTTAATCATCATGATTCCGAAGCCGTAAAGTGTTACTAATTTCTACAGCTGATTATTAGTCATTCTAATGGAAAGGATGTAATTCATTTTCAATTTTTGAAATATTCGCTACTAATTTATCACACATCCTTTCAAATCTACTCAGAAGAAGTGTGCGCTGCACAGCAATTCAGCCTATCCTTCTTTATGACAGTGACATACCATTGGAAGTAGGAGACCTGAAGAGGTTAGCTGTCTTTGGCCAAAGGTATTTGCCTCCTATCTCACATGTTAATTCATATAATAAGTTGAGAATTAGGCAAAGGAAGTCAGTCTATGAGACTGTGAAGCTGCATCGACTGAGATGGCTAACACACACGTTATGCGTACAAAGGTATTGCCTTGCATGTCAACCATTGTTAGCTTGTATAGGATTAGTTTGGGAGTGTTAGGATATCAATCCACGAAGTCACTCAATGTTGGTTTCAGAGGCGAAGCAAAGTGTAGACTGTCTAGATGCGGTCCTCAGCATCCTGAGGACCAATAGTTTGGGGTAGTTGGTGATAAGCCTTGAAGTCACCCTCAGTGGTACAGATCCATTCGCTCTTTGTAACTTCCACGTAATTATTCCTTATACCATACATTTCCACTGATTATGGTTCCTTTCAATTTTCCCTCCAATTCGGAGTGTGGTAACTTGAACTGTTGCACTTCTGTGCAGAACTCTATGTCGGAACTCAATCAGTAAGTAGGAGGACTAACAGAATCTGGAGGATCGCAAGAGGTGCATACATCTGTATTATTGTGAACAATTTTGAGCTATCACTGACAGTCTCCAACTATTGATTATTTGTACCCCCTATGTGGCTCAAACCGAGGGTCAAAAACTTGATAAATCATAGACACATTTTCATCTAATCATCGGTAGCGTTTTTCGGTCTAGTAACACACTAGCTAACATTACTTGTTGATGGAGGTGGTGTAACACACGTTCTAGTCCTTACAATCTGTGCCGCTATACAATCTTATCGATTGATTCCTACTGCATAACTACCGCTCTTCGCCTAACATTATTAACGATCATATTGCACCGCCTAACACGAGAGACTGAACGTAGAAACCTATGGTTATAAACCGCCAATAGTATATTATCTGCCTTCGTCTCATTATCATAAAGCATAATGGAGCAAAGTGTTGTGTAAAACAAGAATTCTTTGAAAATTGATTAGATATCACACCATCGCAAAAAAGGACAACTGACAAATGTCAAACGAGCAACCGGTTTAGTAGGGTTGATACAACTTCCCACAAAATTGCTACGGATTGTATAAAACCTTAGCAACAAATACTCCTTTGCTTATTATCCAATCAGAATGAATCTTGCGTAGCCGAGACATTGACTACAAATTATATTTAACAAAACAAACATCTGGTTTAACATTTTATAAGATACTGACCTGCAAGAGTTTTCAAACTGACAGTTTTCTGTACCACTGAAATTAAAAGTCGTGTTGTTTTCTTGTAACTTTTGGACATGAGATGGTAGCACAGGAGTGTTCACATCCTTATTTTTTAAATTTTGTTCAGTTAGTTGTGTGTATAATGATGGAGACACCTTGATTGCTAACAGCTGAACCCATAATGAGATTTGTCCACGTCTTCGTTTAGCTGGGAGTTCAGCTAAAATAGAAATACTTTAAAATGATATTTCAATTTATACTAAGATATGCAGGGCAAGTATTTTCACCAATATTACACGCTACTAAAAAATGTTTAAACAACTCCGAAAACAAAAAAAAACAAAAAAGTGGACGTCCACACTTATTAACTACATTAGTATCTATCATTAGGAATTGTATTATTTTCTCCAACAGTTATTAACCTGAACATTATATCCAGGAATTTTCAAGTTGCCAATTAGACACAAAAGACACTATTCTGTAATTGACATTTCTGGCAACAGTAAAGAACAGACATCAAAGTCAAAGGACCTTGAGTTTACCAATTATACTCTTCCAGGAGAAAATTGGCATTTATTATCTTTTTTAAATGTATTTATGACATGTGTAATAAAACTGAATTATGCAGGGTATATATCTCTAAGGTGCTGTGAAAACTGGTCCCAATTTCTCGTAGGAGACAACTATTTAGGCTTATCAGGGAAACAGGTGGCAAAAGGCAAATGATAAGTGAAACAATCTCGGAGAAAAATGGCACCATAATTAGCTCCCAGGATAGACGACTGGAACGCTGGAAAGAGCACTATAAGTAGCAGTTTAATTGGCCCACAGCCACGCTCAACCTGCCGAACATCCAACACCTCCCTGAATAGGATATAGACACAGGTCCTCCTTCCTTAACTGAGGTTACTAAAGCTGTCACCAATCTAAAACAAGGCAAAGCAGCGGGACCTGATGGGGAAATCGATAGACGAGGTTGTGAATTAACATCGACTGAGATGGTTAGGACATGTGTTACGTGTGCCTAGTCATCGCCTTCCTCGACGGGCAATGTTAGCTGATATAGAGTCAGGCTGGAAAATAGCTAGCGGAGGTCAAACAAAAACATGGCCTCACCATACAATGAAATCTACAACAGTTAGTCTAAGCCACGTAGGAAGGTGTAGACTGGCTTCCTGGTTGGGGGTCCTCGGGACGGTAAAAATCAATGGTTGGAAACAATCGGTGACATGGCTCAAAATCGTTCTCAGTGGCGCAGATGCATCCACTCCTTGTGACTTGTAGTACCCAATAAAGCTGTATTGTTCTTCGATATTACTATTCCTTTGTCTCATACCTCTGTTTACTGTCTCTAATACTCATTTCTTCTACTTTCTTCTCATGCTTTGTGTGCTACATGGAGTGTGGAGACTTGAACTGGTGCACATCGGCGCAAAGTTCTATGTCGAAAACAGACAGACATAGGAGTGTCTGTACACATATAAAACCAATGTCGATACAAAAATTCATCCAGGTGGCTGTATATCATATCGTACCATATCAGGAGCCATTTACTATTATAATACATTTTCTGGATGGACCCAGAATCCTTCAATAGAATTTGTATAAGCTCCACTTATAGGATCTACTAGTTCAGAAGTATGATTGACTTTATGATGAATATAGTCTAATGATGATAGTTACGAATGACCGTTTCACTCGAGTATATGAATGGTAGTGCCTAGGAGGACTAGTCGTTGTATTACTGGTATTAAAACGTCTGGGTGAAACTTGCAACGAAGATTATGAACAGCATCTATGTGTAATGCCGAGCTATCTTACTGGCTGATTCAAGGCCACTTGACTTTGGTGTCTATTCTTTACTGTTGCCATATATCTTTCATGTATAAGACAATCAATGCAGTTATTTTGTTATGATATTTCGGAACGAGAAATATCTATTTATTAAATGCAGTTTTATTACAACGTTACAATTGGGTGGTATAAAATCAACAAATGAGCATCTCTGTTATTTGACAACTATCATCTAAATTATGACGACAGTTAAATAAATACTTTTGATCAACATCACCAAATACAACTATTCCTGATAGCTATACACCTCCATATAAAATGTATTGCCTAATAACTGTATTTAAAATACTTCTCATTGTACAAAACGTCACCTGCACACGACTCCGTAAATCTCCAAATGAGTACATTTCACAAGCACTCCGAAATTATAAAGTAAGGGACTAGCACAGACCCTGATTTCCTGCTAATCTAGCACGAACTGAGTAACACACTAAACATGAGATCACACAGGCATTCCTCCGTCTTGCAAGTTTCTCAAACTACCTCTTTATCCACATATAGTCAGCTTATTAGGGCCTTTGACATGGACAAATTCAAAATAATTCCAAATGTGTGTTTGAGTTTGAACCATTTAACAGGACTGACGGACTAGTTTCAACATAGAACTTTGCACCGATGTGCACCAGTTCGAGTCGCTACACTTCATTCAGCACACAAAGACAGAGAAGATAAAAAGAAATGCAAAACAGAGACAGTAAAAAGAGATATGAGGCTAAAAGAATAGTACTATCGACGAACAATATAGTTCTACTGGGCGTTGTAAGTCACAAGGAGTGGATTCATCTGCACCAACCATAGAGAACGAACTTGAACCATACCACCGATTGTCTCCAGCCATTGGTTTTTACTGTCCCGAGGGCCCCAACCAGGAAGTCTACACTTTCCTACTAGACCGGCTTAAGCTAACTGTTGGGGATTCCATTGACTGATGAGGCCATGATTTAGCTTGACCACTAGTGGCTCTTTTCCAACCTGACCCTATGTCAGCTAACATTGCCCGTCGAAGAAGGCGATGGCTAGGCCAGGATTAGACTGGCCGGCGTTAAGTGATCATTTTACGGACATTAAACGTTCCCCGAAGTGATATTTCCACACCAAATACTAGGACCGCCGTGCAACTGAAAATAGAATAAAAGTTTGCTTGTAAAGCCTGAAGAGAATGGAACATACTAACTGCTAGCTAGTGGCGATGAATAGCAAGCGAGTTAGCATATATGACATCAGGTAAAACTATCACGCCCGAAAGAAAAGGATGCATTAGTAAGAAAAATCTCGTACTATCTTCAAAACGCCTTACAACATAAGATGGCCATCAATCCTTGTCGTCGAAAATGTAAATAAATTCTGGAGAAGAAAAGGACGCCCTCTCGGACTTATTGAAGCAAGTGGTTGTTCACTCGAAATCAAGTTCGTCTCAACTTAGATTTGAGACAAGATTAAAATACTGAGGCTAAGTTAGATCTGTTGCCAAGAAGCAGTCGAGTTAAACCTGAAAAGCACAAGCACCAGTCCTACTGTTATCTACAGACTTGAATGACGAATCGTTTATATACATTTAGTTAAACCGCAGAATTGAATTTCACGAAATAATTGTACTTAGTAATCCTACATGCGAATACATATGAAGTCTCAATATCATAATGATACGCCGGTTACTAACTCAAACAATTCACTCGCATCGAAGCACATTTAAGAAAAAGTAGTGTAAACTTATAAAAGACTTACAGTATCCAAGACTCATTCCATTGCATATTGAAGGTGATGGATTTATTCGCCTACTATAGTCCAAGTAGCTGGCAAGTTCATGGTGACCCGTCTGTCGTAATGCGTTAAGCAAGAGCGCTAGGCCTTGTGGTGGGGCGAATGGACAACTGTTGGATGATCCTGAGCTACGAAAGCCACCATTATGAATAGGAAGGCCAATGGCACTTAGCAGCAAGAAAGGACGCTCACATTTTTCTGCCCGTATTATTTCGAGACTAGATTCTCCACTTATAGCATGATGTCTGACAAGATAATCAAGCAAAGGAGCCTGCACATCCAAGCTTTCGAATGTATCCGGTGAGCAATCCAGAAAATTTTTCGATATTCCTGACACCGCACAAGATGCACTGTAGTTTTCCTTATCACACGTCAAATTACGGTAGGAATTAGCGTTCTGAATTGTAGTTATTTGACCTTCTTTATACGTAGTATCGTGGACCTCTTCTTTAGGTTCAGGAGTGGACTGCAGATATAGTGGTCTCCTAAAGTTACAAATGGGATGTGCAGCTTCCCCGTATTTCCCGAAGTTCTTAGTGATGGGAGTCTGGGATTCGTCGTCGTAGTAGTTGACATTAAGGGTGTTCACATGAACGCAGTCACCATTATAACCGATTACTCTATGGCCATTACTATTACACGAAACTTCCAACATCAAAAAGTAAGAAGAGTGGGCAACAAAGAGAACTACATAAACCGGTGATTGAATGGAGTCAAAATTGAACGGAAAGAGGACTAGGGCCAAAAAACCATAAGCCGCAGAACCAGGTGACTACTTTCATATTTCGACGGCTTTTCACCGATCAAAACAACAAGGTCAGGGAGGCTTTCATCGTTCCAAACACTGATGACCTTGATGGTACTTCATCCAAGCACGGGAGCCGCTTGCAGTGTTTTGGATATTTTCCAGTCTAAAATATATTTATCAACATGTGGGATATGTGAACGGAAGTTTTCCAGCATTTCTTCGTCTGTTGTGCCCTGGGCGAAAACCACCACTGACTTTGCATCGAATGGAATGGTTGCAAAACCTTGGCGTGAATAATCACAAGGAATATTTGCAGTACCATATGATGATAAATTTCGTTGACAATCTCCAAGTAGTTATGTAGGACAAATTGGGTTCAAATTGTAATGATTCCAGAGCCTCTGAGTATGGATCGCGAAACTTCAAAATTAATTGATAGTGTACTGCACTGGTGCTGTTCCGCCTTGAATGAATTGACTGAGCTGAGTAGTGTGTCAGACTTTTAAAACCGAGTTATCGTTAGGGTTACGGAATCATGGCTCACACTAAATCAGTGACACTGAAGTTAACCAATATGATTTACATTGCATACGGAATGAATCGCAGGGTCGATAGAGTACGTGGCGGTAGGTAATTCCACGGAATTATCAGCCACAGAATTCATCACTGGACATTTCATCACTGGACACTAGACGCTGACACTTATTGTTTAAGTCGACTCGTTTATCAGAAGGTACGCGTTGAAATATCCAAGCCATTTTGCACGCCGTCGTGTTGAGTTTGTTCGTTTATGCACTATCCCTAGCCGGTTGAGCAGTCATCGTCGCACTATGATTTTGTCCAGAAATATACTCCGTATTTTTGACGATCAGTGTGATGCTTTGCTTTGCTTCTTGTCTAAGCGGAATGAATACCATAAAAGTTGTGGGTATTATATCCTGTATGAGTATATGTTGTGCTATCCCTGAACTTCAACACCTTCAACCCCTAAAAGTAGGTTGCTGTATCAAGAATTTGTAGGATTCTGAAGCTCTCTCGCACAAAACTGGATCGAGCGAACTTCAACTCTGCAGACTAAAGTGTGAATGACAACACCCTAACCTCACTGTAATTAGTCGTAGCCCCGATCGCAATGAAGACAATTTTCGGTTAGTGAATCTGGGTTTCTGGACGTTGAAACGTTCGAGTTTCGTGGATGGAGTTAATTGACTGGATATGCTTTACAATGCCATCCTCAGCCTACTCTTCAGACTAAAATTTTCAGAGTCTACAATTTCGTTGGACGTATTACAACTTGTCACTAAGCTTGCACTTTATGTGTGGCAGCACTCCCCCTCAATCTTGGGCCTGGTTTTCTGCACTACTGATCGTGCGATCCTCACTCAATATTCCCTGCTGCTAGGGAAAACTGAACATGCTGTGCTTACGTTCGAGTTCGTAGCTGCTGCAGTGTCCGTAACTTATACCTCAGGTTGGCCAAACATTTAAAAAGGTAACATAAATCGTTTTGGAGACATAATCACAGGAATGGTCATAAGTCCAGTGTCCTATGTTGGAATCAGTGGGATCTGAAGTCCTCTCAGGACCCTCCAACCAACCGGCAGCTAACATAGCCGGCCCCGTAACTACCACCTAGAATCTACCTGCAGTAAACTGGGTATTACCTCACAACTGGAAGGAAGCTGTAGTAACCTCCTGCCACAAGGTCGATCAGGACACCATCCCCCGACCACAATCTGATTAACCCCACTAACACCTTGATCAGGACACTAGAAAGAAAGCCTTCATGGAATGTCTCGAAAACAACTTTTCGTTCAGAGCACAGTATGGTTCTCATGCCTGAAAAAATTCTTGCAGCGAGAGGAAGCTGATCAAGTCAAAGGACAACAGAACACATCGGCGTTTCTTCCACGGGCTTCAGTAAAGCTTGCTTGGAGATGGCCTGATGGTGACAGTGACATGCTTACGCCCCAAACAGATCTCGATAAAAGAGAACTTTTTGCAATGGTGCAAAGAATGGATGCTTCAAAACAATGCAGAGAAGTGTGCAACCATGTCCTTCGGACACTCAAGCATTAGCCCATACGATAAAGAGGGAATAATACTCCCATGAGCGCAGTGTTATATAGACCTACATGACCTAGGAATCCACTACGTAAAACCCACAGCACGGTTTTGCGCGGCGGTGGTGCGAAGTCTCAAACCATAATGGGTAGCGCACAGAGCGTTTACTAGAAACACCAGTGATGCCTTCACTTCTCTATATGCATCTCTGAAAAAACTGCATCCAGGCGGTCAGTCCCTCTCCTAAGAGGGACTCAAACATTCTAGAAAAGGTACAAAGAAGAGCAGCGCGTCTGATTTTGAGTATAGTTAATTTACCATACGAGGAAAGACTGAACAGTTTGAAATCCTCACTTTGTCGTGCCGAAAGTAGCGGGGAGATCTCAATACAATGTTGGAAATTATCCTCTAGTCCTCCCCACTGAGCCAGTATATCCCAGGGGACATAACGGGGGAGTTTAAAAGCTGAGTAGGGACTAAATTTCCCTTGAGCAACGTTTCTTTCACATATTCTTAAACACTCTGAGAGGATTATCAGGGGACATGATTTCGGCTCCCAATGTTCAGGAGGTTAGAGAAGCACGTAAACTTCCTGGGAGAGAACTGACATAGGGACGAAGCTTTGGGGGGTCAGACAGCCTTGTCAATTCAGTTGGATCTCGGCCATTTCGCTTTCAGAGGTCAATCTGTTCACCTGTGCTGATTAGGTCAGGAACAAGAGAGTGATTGTGCACTGTTGTGTGATTGTTTATCTCTGTATTCTCTTCATACGACTGTTCATAGTTACATCGCTGAACAGCAGTAGTGGCTATATTATACCTTTTGCTAGTTGTGTCAATGTAATGAGCGGCCTGACCACCAGGTCAGCTGTGCTAGGCTACAGAGTCAGCGGGTAATGTGGCCAAAGCTGAAGTAAAGTGGGATAGATGGCGACACAACAATCGAGAGCGTTAAGTCTAGTTCAAGCCGTCAGAAACAATCTCCAAGTCATTGAAGTGGCCTAGGTGGTTTCTTATATGGCTTTCTATTATCAAAAATTAAATCTAAAGCTGATGACAAATATATCTAAACAAATCAACACCGTAGACCATTATTGAAGTTATGAGAAACTGTGCAAGGTTAGGAATATAAGCTGACATTCAACTAATCTTGTTGTCATGTCTGTTACAGGCAGTGCACGGACATCGCTTGGGCAGACCGACTCTAGAAAACTGAGCTAATAAGGGTGTGTCTCTAAAGCACTCATCAAATTATGAACTAGTGAGCTACCTATAAAACTTCAAGCTGTCTTACAAAACCGTTCCACTTCGTATTTGTTCAATACATATATCTTCAGTGAAATGAAATTTTGTCATCATGCTGGACACGACTTCACAGCGAATGCACTCCAATGAATTGAAGTAATATTCAGCACCTATTCAAACCGTTATCACAAAAGATATCTACCTGAAGTCCTGTTTTTATTACTTCTGCCACCAGGTCGCTGGTTTCCACTGCAGTTTTATAGTTTGCGTGACATTAGACATAAAGTGCCACGAAGTCTCCAGCTTCTAACGTCTTCTTATCGGTTCAGAGTAGTCCTGTATACTCGCTTTCAGCAATCTCCCACATAACCCAATCCCCCACAATTAGGGATATAACTACTGTATTCCTTTCACAGGCTTCGCTGAGTTTTCCGTTACAGGTCTCAAGAAAACCAGTTGGTTAGGCTGCTTGAATGATTTTGAACTAGTTTCCAGTTAGTTTCAACCAGATATATCACCCACGATTGATGTGTGGCTGTAAATCCTGTTAGACCCGAGTACCAGCCACACTGCCTACTGATTGTTTATCCTGGCCCGCCTTACCTGGTGGCTAGGCTGCCTACAACACCACCAAAACTAGCAAAAGCGAGAATATAACACTTACGGATGATGAAAGTTGCACTTATTGACAATCATTTCAACAGTGTACAAGAATATAAAAACCCCAAGCAAAGCTACCCATTTCTCGTCCATTAAAAGCCGTGTTGACCACTGTGGCAGGTCGAACGTAAGCACAGCATGTTCAGTTTCCCCTAGCAGCAGGGTGCTTACGTTCGAGACCTGCCACAGTGGTCAACACGGCTTTTAATGGACGAGAAATGGGTAGCTTTGCTTGGGGTTTTTATATTCTTGTACACTGTTGAAATGATTGTCAATAAGTGCAACTTTCATCATCCGTAAGTGTTATATTCTCGCTTTTGCTAGTTTTGGTGGTGTTGT